TGCAAAGAATAGAAAAGGTATTTAAAAACATGTGAACACAGATAATCACTATAAATTGGTGATTTTATTTCCCAGTGCTACTGGACAGTAGCTTAAAGTGGCAAGTTTCATTACATTAGAATATAGATTTGACCAAAGTATGCCATTTTTTCCTCCAGTGTGCATTTAATGGAATACTACAATAGTCTCAGAATATTTATATCGTGGTACATGATTGGAAAGTGGAGAATGTGTTTTTGCTGCAGTTGTATTGTTTTTTTACGAAATATTGAAATTCTGGCTTTTGAAATGACAGTTTAAAATGTTTTGTTATATAAATGTTTACATTTGCTATAACGTCAAAAAATGTTAATGTTATTTAGTGTTAATGATCTTTTCTGTTAAGTGCTTCATTTAAAATCTCCTTTCAAGAACAAATGTATCTTGCAAATCCCCTATATTTCTAACAAAGACTAGATAGGATGTCAATTGTGATATTGACACCATAAAGTCATGAAGTTGGGCTGTACTCCAGTTTAAGGAAGATTCTATAATAAGGAATGATTACTCGAGCTCTAAAATTGCCTGGTATCTGAATAAATACATTTATTTTTAGCTTGGTTTTGTACTCTGATAAGATCCATATATAATCTTATGATTAATTTTCTGTTCTTTTCTGCTTTGACTCCTTGACTGAAAGCACAGAAAGACAATCCCCTGTCTCAGGTATCACATGCACAGACTGTAACTGTTGAACTATCTAGGATTATGAAAGCAGTCTATATGGAATAGCTATTCAATAATATGTCTTCTCTGCAGCCATTGCCATTTCAAGATGAGAGTAATATTTTTCCTACTGTAACTATCAATTTAATAACTGTATTAAGTTTAGCTAAAAGCTGCTACACCCCTTCAAGAATCAGAGTTCCTAAAGGGTCACTGCTGCAGATAAGGTATTGCAGTTTAATTTGTTTACATATCTTTGTTTGGAGGAGTTGCACCATAAAGACAAGCACTGAAAGAAGAGAGTCTTTTGCTCCCTGTCTGTTCTTCTTTTAGGCAGGGATACACACCAAAATTTTACTCTTTTCACATAATTCAGCATAGCTTACAAATATATACTTCTTGACCACCTGGGCACAAGCTGGCTCATGTTAAGCTGACTGTTGACCAATACCCTAAGGTCCTTTTCCACCAGCAGCTTTCCAGCCCCACTTCCCCAAGCCTCATGTTTGTGATACAAGTGCAGGACCTGGCACCTTGCCTTGTTGAACCTCATACAGTTGGTCACAGCCAACTGATCCAGCCTGTGGAGACCCCTCTGCAGGGCCTTCCTGCGGGTCACCACTCCTGCCCAACTTGGTGTCATCTGCAAACTTTCTGAGGTTGCAGTCAATCCCCTCATCCAGCTCATTGATAAAGATATTAAACAACACTGGCCCTAATGCTGAGCCCTGGAGAACACCACTTGTGACCGGCTGCCAACCAGATTTAATTGCATTCACCGCCACTCTGTGATTCACACATACAGCCAGCTTTTAAAGCAGTGAAGAGTACACTGTCCAAGCTACAAACAGCCTGTTTCTCCAGGAGAATGCTGTGGAAAATGGTGTCAAAAGCTTTACTAAAGTCTAGGTAGACAACATGCACAGCATTTCTCTTGTGCACTAAACAGGTATCCTTGTTGGTCTCACTCTGGATATAACATGTGAGACAATCTCTGTATTTTCCTGTCTGTATCTGACTACCCCAAAGAACATCTTTCCAGGATCATTATTATTTTCCTTCCTTATTATTACAAACATCATTCTTCCCCTCCTCCCTTGAGTCACTGTTACTTTACACCTTCTGGAAATTAGCTGTCAAATCAACTACCTTGCTAATTTATTGAGTCCTTCCACCAATAAGCTCTTTCTCCCTGCTTGCGTTCCCTTGTGCCTATCCTAGTTCTCTAACATTCTTCTCTGATCCGTTGGTTTGCTTTCTATCTTGCCTAAGGTGCCCATATCACCTTACCTGCAATTTTTTAAGGTTTTTCTACCTGAACTTGTATGCCAAAGGACTCTTCAGTGAAACTCATCTTTTCCTGTCACCTTTGTCACCTGCTGGAGTTATGCTGGTTTTGTTCTGTGCTTCTGAAGATCTAATTGGTTAGCATTTTATAATGTAACCAGGCTTTCAAAGACTGTTGCTAGCCTCAAAGAATTTCTCACACGACCTGTATATTCTAACGGGTTTGTAATTTCCTAAAGTGACAATCAAGCTTCCTGTGCCTCTTTGAAGCACTCTTTAGGATGATTCTTGAAGTTTCTACTTTGTCTTACAAACATAAGTGCATCAGGAAATGCTGATAAGTGCACTCAGTTACTTGCCTAAAGTTACCAATGTGTAAATGCTGTGACTGTATGTGACAAGAACAGCTGCACCAGCAGGCCTACTGGACTAGTTTTAACACTGAAATCTCAGTATTTTACAAAGGGATAAGTGTATCAAAATTAGCATTAAGACATAACAAATATTAGTCAGGACCATGAGTACTGACGCGCTGAACAGCTGAAATTCAGGTTCAAATTTACCCTCCTAAATCAGGTTATCTTATCATATGGACACTGGAAATTTGGCATAATGTTTATTTATTACTAATGTTTGGGAGAAATGGGACCCTGAAGCATTAATTTGTGGTGTATTGTAATGACTGTAGCCCCTTGGTGCTGAAGTGCATTGATAATTTTGCCCTTTTAAGATGACACCTTTGATCAATTAATAATCTACCTAAGATATTACTCCATAAATTACAATCATATTTGATTGAAACCCAGTAATTACCATAGATGAAAACTGCTTTTCTGTCTAGTGACTGCAGATATCCAATTTACAGAAATAATACTAATGCATTTCTCCCATTTGAGAATTCTATGGTACATGCAAACAGCAATAAAGTCAAGAAAATATGAATTAAAAAAAAAGTGAAAATTAGATTAAAAATTTCCCTGTGTCAGCTCCTCAAATTTATTGGACAACTGATTGTGGATCTTGAATCTCAATCCTCATTCTGCAAATGGAGTTGCCAGCAATAGAATTATTATCTAGTTGATAAACTGGACAGTGTGTCTGGAAATAAAACTTGATGTTTTATATCCTTTAAAGTAGAGATAATTTAAAGACTTGAATGCAAAAGTAGCTTTATCCCTTAGAATTGTTTTAATTCTCCTTATGCAACAAGTGTTTCATTTTTCTCTCAGTATGTCTGTTATAGAATGTACATCTCAAGGATACAGATAAGCTATGCATCCAGTGAAGTACGGTGAGAATGGTTATGTTTGACACTGAAATACTGTGTAGATCTGGAATGTATTTCACTATTAGAGAATGGTATATACAAAGAAACGGAAGAGTGGAGGAGAGATGAAGGAAATTACTATCTGCTCTTACATGGAAATAAACTTCTAAAAATAACCCCCTCTTGAATTTTCTTTTAAAGCATCCACAAGGAAGAAAATACATCTGTTACATTTGTCCCATCAGAAGCTGTCTAAAGGCATAGTTTGCACAGAAGTGATGTAAAATGTGAGGTAGATCGCCTGAGTCGTTACCCTTACAAAGTTTACACTCTGTCTCATAAGAAACCATGAGAATGCTTTAAATTACAGTGATGCCTGCACCACTTTAACATTTTTCTTTTTCTGACAGATCTCTCTGTAAAACCCTGTGCATGTGTCATTATGTGCATGGTACAGTAGGTTTTCTTTGATGGTTTTAACACAGTGGTTTAAAAACTTACTACCCTGAAGAATTTCTGTAAATCAATAATGATGCAAGGTAAAATTTGGGCCATTCAAGTTTATTTTGGTACTGATCCCGCCCTTGCACATGTCAGCTTCTGTCAGTATATTGCAAGGCAGAGGGCTCTGGTAGAATCAATGTTAGAGTAAAACGACTTGAAGAAAGTTTTCTTCACAAAAGATGCCCTCTCATGCCTCAGTTATTTGATTTGGAGCTGGCAAGTCTACTCCTCAGATTTTTTTTGCCTCCTGGAAGCAGCCCTAAGGGAAATACAACTAAAGCACAAAGATTCTTTTCAGATGAAGTTCCTTCTTCAGAAGTGTAACCTTTAAGTAAAAGTGAAAGTGATGTGGGGTTGCATGACTCGGGCCAAACGTACATGAATCATAACTTAGGCCATTCTGGTTGATGTTTAAAGCAAGTTTTGGTGCACAAGGGTTGGTTCATTTTCCCAAAGTTAATCTCCAAAAAGGCAAATTGCACTCGATCCAGTAAAGCAGGTGCCATATTGGTTGCCAGAGGGATGGGAAGTTTCAACAGGCATTTTAAATTGTGGATTGCTCTAACTCCATGTAGAAGTTTGAACTGTAAAATAGTGAAATGACAAAATGGCATGAAGTCCTGACATCTTCACCTAGAAGGATGCAGATAATTGAGTTGGACTGAGTTGCTGGAAGCTTATCATCTCCGTGCATTTTACAGCAAAATTAATGCACAGCCAGAAATCCTTGCATCCTGACAAAACCATGAACTTTATAATATAAGGAATCTAAGTGTTTCCTAGGAAGGTTTCAAGCAGGATATAACTTGTATGCAAGAAACACATTCTAACAGCTAGCTTGTCATACAGCATTTTACATGTATACATTTAGATATGCTTATATGTGCATGTATTCAAAGATAAAAAATGTGCAACTTAGTAAGAGGTGTAAACTATTACAAAGGATTTTAGGAAGTCTCTGTCTTGACTTTAAGCTCCCAGAACAGAAGCAACAGTGTGCAGTGTGTGCCTAAGGAGTTTTTCACGCCACAGGCAGACCCTCAAGCACCATAGCAGTACCGGTGTACTACTTCCTGATGTGGTTCACAACTGGCCACTGATCCCAAATAATAAGAGAGGGAGACAACAGACAGTTGCAGAGATTTAATCTCATTTAACCCAATATGATTTTTATTTTATATTTTACATATAAATTATTTTATAACATCAGAAAGACAGAGAAAATAGTTAGGTGCTCTTGGATTTCATTTTGGAGAAGTCATTTAAAACAAACATTTGGACTACTACCAGATAAAATGAGTATGAGTATGAGATCAGACCACCTGCCTTTGTAGAAGCTACTCCTTATAAATGAGTAGCTGAAAACTTCTTTGCTTCGTTGTAGGGAAAATGGAAGTACAATTATTAGAATACTGTATTTGCTACTGCATTGGGGCAATTATTCTGTAGCTCAAGTCTTGGAGCGTACAGTTAGATAAGTCTCCCTTTTCTCACATTTGAATCTAGAAGACATTGTCGAACGCCTTCAGACTGCGTAGGGGATAAAAGGCAATGATGGTTTGAAGCTATGTCATGCTAAGTAAACACCCACATGATGGGATGTATGAGAAATATCCTACACAGAGTTCTGGAAACCTTGAGAGGATTTTAGCAGCTCCTGCAGCTGTGTATATGACAAGATCTAAACCAGGAAAACTGTCACAGGTTGTACCTACAGAGCAGTACAGCAATATAGTGAAGTGCTACCTGACCTACCTTTAAACCATGCAACTGAGTAGAGGTAACAGTTTAGGCCAGAGCAGCATGAAGCTTAACATGGAGTACTTTACCATGGTTTTTAAGGCAGAGGCACATATTGCTACTCCATGAAAAAGAGCAGTATTTAAAATAATTATATCAAAGCTAGTTCGGATGTCTCACCAGACATAATCAAGTGACATAGCAGAAATATGGACATTTCCATCAACCCCTAGGGGAGGGTCTAAAAGAAATAGATTGACTTGTAGACATCTGATGAAAAACTCCATATATTTTAGTGGGATTGCTTTAAAAACTTCTAGTTTAAACCAGATCAGAATGCACCCCTTTTTGGCAGAGATATGTTCAACAGAAAAACAGATACAAAAAAATTCACAGCAGTGATTGAAGGTGGGATGTTTGTTACTGAAGAAAAAGTGTATCTGGGAAAGCTACAAACTAGAAGGCTTTTTTTATAATGCCTATACATGAAAAATCATTCCTAAAATCTTAATATGTTGCAATAGTTTTACTAGGGTTCACTATGTGAAAAAAATCCTCTATGGAGGAATTTCATCTGATTTGCAATCCACATCAGCATATAATATCTTTTCCAATATGTTTAGTGATGCATTCATCAAGGATTTAGGTGCTGAGATTTTTTGTGCAAGCTACATAACTGTGAAAAATTGTTTTCAGACATACACAGCATAATGCATGTGGGGGAAAGGGTATGGGAAAAAGCAAGAGTCGCCATTTGTTCCAGCAACAACAAAATTCCACTTAAGTAGTTATGGAAATTCTGTGATTTGAAAAAATATGGTAAAGAAAAAGCATTGTCATGTACTGGATTACTATCTGATATGCAGCTTTCAATGCCAGATCATCCTTTGGTTTTCCTATAAAAGAAAAATGTAGACATGATTAACTATATGCATGGTATCAGCATTAATATAAGAGTAAGTTAAGTGGTTCTGGATCAGGAAATGAGATTATAATGAGCTCAATGTGATTTCATTGAGGTAAAAGATATTTAAACTTGATAACTATTCATAAGAAGAATAGGTACCATGTTAGCATTCTGTTTCCCTGGAGGTGAAAGAGCCTTGACATGGCTGTTTCTCTCATTAAAAAGCTGACACGACTTTGTCCTATAGGATTTGCTGGCTTCACTAGAAAATTTGAAGCTATCTGACACGTGTGTTCTTCTACTCCTAATGGATGAACACAACTAATTTATTGTGTATCTATATACACAATTGAATCTCTCCACAGCTCTGTTGGAGAAGAAGTTTGCTAAACTGTGTTTAAAACAAATTTAAATCATAACTATTTGGCATAGGACTTTATAATTCAAGTTGCCTATCAACTTAATGTCAAGATATTTCATCAGTTAGGAAAAGGGAGCAGCTACAGGATAATCACACACATTGAACCAAATCTAAATACACTATAATTGTACCAAGTCCCTTTTATTGAACAGGTTCTAAATTATTTGATGAAGATGCTGCAAATTGGATTCTACCTAGACTTGGCAGTTAAAAATATTTCTAATTATTTAACTCAATTTCACTTCTCTCTCCAATGAAATAAGACCTATATTGACCCCAAAACCTAAGGTATTAAAATATTGAGTGGATTTGCACATACACCTATAGACAGCTATTACTGTATCTAAAATTAATTAGTTTGGAGTGGTGATCAGTGAGATGTATGTTACAGTTTAAAAATAATTCTCAGAACATATTATGTTAAGTCATACCTATGCACAAAATTCAACCTTAGAATAGATGTAAAAAGTCAATATTAGTCTGAAGAAAAAAATCCAGTAATTTTCTTGCCACTTTATATTTCTGTGCTCCCATAGATGACCTTTCCTGGTCTCAGAGCAATTTCTTGGGAGGATGCTGTTCGGAATATACAACATGAAAAATGCTTTCTAGATGATCATCTACTTTAAAAAGATAAGCAGACAAACAAGGAAAAAATATTTCCAAGCATTTTGACAGAACATTTGAGGAACATTTGAAGACAGGTTATAATTAGAATGGTCTGACCTTCCCCAGATTGTGAATACTTTCCAAGTGTGCAACTTCAGTGAGGTCTTCTGTTGTCAGCTTTTGTTAGGATTTTCCAGTAAAATTAATCATGTATCAAAATACTAAGAGCATGATAAAGGAGGCAGTTGTGGCAGCTGAGTTATGGGCTTGCAGGCTTCTCCAGTGGCTGCTCTTTGCACCTTGTACTCTGCATCCCCAGGCTGCCTGCCCTTGCTGTCACCCTGGTAGGGGATTCCCAAGGAAATTCACAAAGCTGGCAACAGGGAGAAAGGATGGAGGCATTTGTTAGATGCTGACAAATCTGACTGTGTTTCCACTAGCTATCATCTTCAAATATAGATGCAAGACAGGCTGAATTTTGTCTCTAGAGCTTTGGGCTGAAAGCCTGAACTGAACATAGACTGAAATTTTAATGCCACAAATACACAGCACAAGGAACACTGCATATTTGCAGTTTACATAATTATGTAACCAAGTCTTCAAGAAAGAACTATAATATTACTAATTCCTATAAGCTTAATGTTTATAGCTGAGGTTTAAGGAAAAACAGAATTTGGAGTTGACAAACAGTTCTGGAGGAGAGCGAATGCAAAACAATTTTTCTTAAGCTTGTTAAGGACTGTTACTTTATTTTTGGTTTCTCCTCTTTGTGTACCTGCCTCTTCTGTGTTAATGTTATCCAGCACTTCTGCAGAAAACTGATCTCCAAGCACTAACTCCTGACCTTCTCACCTCCTCCTCTTCCTCATCTGTCTTCTGTTTCCATCATTTTTCTGCTTAATTATAAAGACATTTTACTATCTGGTTCTACTTGTACTAGCAATGCTTATGACAATGTGTTGTTCTTCTGAGCAGCATCCATGAATAGCACAAATGTCTTTCTCTTGTATGGCTAAATGTTCAATCCAGTTCTTGGAAATAATTTTTCTCATCGGTATGAATGTTTACTGGGTGAAGCTTGAGTCCACTTGAGTCAAGTCACTGGACTTCCAGCAGACATCAAAATGATGTAATCTTCAGCGACAAAAGGACACAGGAAGGATTTTTGGTTTTCCTTTTTATGTTTTTTGCATTCCTTTCAGTGCTTACCTAAATGCAGCAGAAAGCTGAATCATCTTTTGTTCCCTTCAAGTGATTACACTACACAATTACATTGCCGTTTATAATATGAAACTTCTCCTGTTAGGAGAGATACAATCTATCCTTTAGGGAAGGATAGAAGATAAATGTGTTATCTAGAAATTTAAACTGCAGGTCATACTTAGACTTAGTCCATAATAGAACTATTAATTTTACCTACTCTGCTTAGAATTGCTCGGGTGGGGGGTTTTTGGTTGGTTGGTTCACTGATTGATTCTGGGTTTGTTTTTTTTTTTGTTCATTTGTGCTTTTGGTTTTGTTTTTCAATCCAAGAGGTACATGAATTTCCAAATAAATATTATCCAGAAATTTCTAAGTCATTTACTAATCAATACCTAGACACTGTGTGAGCATCCTCCTAAACTTATGTAAGACATGAAATCTGTTTTATTGTAGGTCAACAAAACAGCATTCCTATTTAAGATTATATTTTCAGAAATATTTTTCCTTCCAGGATGTTCATTTTTCAGTGGTACAATTCTATTTTCAGCACCTATATTTCCTCACTTTGTTCTAGTGTGGAGGCAGAGATGTTGGGACGTCCATTTGTTAACACAGACTTTCATAATCCTAAAAAAGCCTGTTTTAAGTCATCAAAGCTCCCTCTGAGTAGAACTAATCAAGCCCTATTCCATGGAAAGCACCAACATCTTAAAAAATGTTTGTTCTGGTCCCTCATAAAAAAAAAGAGAATTCATGATATCTCAGTCAGAAGGAAAATTCTGAAAAGCTTAAGAAAATCTCAGTCCCCCTATCCTATGTACTGACTTGAAATAGGATACTCAAGTTCTTCAAATCACTCTGGGACACGCAGAATTCTGGGGTTTCCCAAAACCAGAAGAGTCCCTCACTGCTGAGTAGGGAAGTTAGAAATATTGAAGCTTAGGTTTCAAGAAATCTTTTGTACTTAATTGTTTCACCTTTTTGATTATGTGTTCTAAACTGTGCTGCCAAATAAAATAAAATTGTGAAGTAGAACATAGACCAAAATGATATTTAAATCCACGGCTCTGTTTCCATTGCGTCTATGATATCAAACTTCAAACAAGTGTGAATAAGAAAATCAATTAAAGCAAGTTAGAACACAGTAATTTAGAAGCTAATCTCAGAATTTTTATATGTTTAAAACAAAACTTACCCTTTTGATGTCTTTCCAAACCAGACCTCAGAGGCCTAGAAGAAGAATCATGTTCTCGTCATTAACATTCATTAAGCATCAGTTATTAAAAAAACTAGCTTGCTAATAATACCTGGCAATTGACTGTACTGGTATAAAATCTTGCATTTATGAAGTTTGAGTGTAGCAGATTCAGATTCCATGATTAGCATATTCCCACAGTATCATTACAGCAATTTCTAGAGGAATAGTATCAATTATATTTTTTACAGTAGCCTTATATCTCATTTTTCTCAGTAAGAAATGACAGAGCTAGATCCTGAAAGATGCTTAGGTCCCTACTGGTTTCATTGGATAGTCAGAGGGCTTCACTGCTCACAAGATGGAATATATGTACCCTATCTTCAAATTATGGGGTTCCTATCTTCCAGTATTCTGAATATAATCCATAAAGTAAAAAATCCTACTGGATTACAAAGTGAATTTGCACAAGATTCCTAGGCATTAATATGGGACAAAATGAATTATCATGGAATTTATACTAGAAATGTTATCTCATAGATGGTGAAGGACAAGTAACATGATGCATGGTATCTTCTGCCACCAATTGCTGCTGTTGTTGCAATGTTACTTTAATATATTGGCACAGCACAAGGACTAAAGAATTCCTCTTTCTTTTTCGCGTAACATAACCAACATGCAGAGGTCAATCCAGTTTCACACTGTGCCTGACAGAGTTGATGCTGTTGCGTGTTTAGTATGCCTGTTCTAGTCTCCAAGCTTCTGTCTCGATGTTTCATGATAGGTCTGAGCACCTACATAAGGAAAGAGACTTTCTAGAGAACTGCCCATGTTTAAAGCCGTTCTTCTGTATAAAACTGCGAGGCCCATATGACTGAAGGACACTCTAGACCTGATTCAGCTCCAAGTCAGCAAAGCGACTTCTTGTCACTTCCTGTGACTTGAGCAGGAGTTGAGAAAAATATCCCCAGATGATGTATTGTATAACAGTTTCAGCTAATCTGTCTTCCTTCATATACAAACTGGGCATGTATAGACTGTGTCCTTTTCAGCAGTGAAATGGGTGATGTGACACACTCAGGAGCTTGGCTTTGGGAGCATAGCAAAAAAGATATTGGGAACAATTTGTTAGAGTACTTGCCATTAATAGGGTTCTTTTGCTGTGAAGTGGCAATTTCAATCATTTTGAAATTTACACGTAAATATACTAGTCTGTAACTCATGTAACATTTGAAATGTGGAAAAGAAATATAATTTCTAAAAATGCAGGAATGTAGGGGAAAAATGTATCTATTTTGAGGAATGTTTTCAGCATAACAAGTCTATTGGAATCTTTCAACCATAACATGTTATCCATTTCATAATCATATCTGGTTATACCAACTTCTTGTATAATAGCAACTATGATTTTTCAAATTATTAAAGTGATGCATTTTATAGGGTTTTAGCTGACTGATTTTAAATGAAGTATATTTATGTTAAGGAGTTTTTGCATAACTGTCACTAAGGAAATATTCAAAATAGATTTCCAGGTAAATGAAAGCAGCGGTAAAGCATCTCACCGATGAAAAGTTTCTCTTTCAGTGAGAGGCCACTTTAGAAGTACGTTGAGTAGACGCTAGCTCTGAAAATGACTTTTCTTATATGTTCTTGAAGTCAGATTATTTTTGGAGTCCTCTGTCCAAGTGTTCTGGTAACGCAGAAATGATGACCATGTATGAGACTTCTAGGCAGTCTGACAGAGATACAGTACTTCATCTCATTCGCTTTGTTCAGTGAATGAAAAACAATGCATATATACACATCTGTTTACACATATATAAGTTCTCATATATAATGTTGCACAGAAGGTGTATATATACTTGTAATAAATATGTGCACTTATATATAAACAAGGTGTGGATGTGAGTGGGTGAATATATAGAGACTTTGTCTCTTCATATGCTTTCTACACATTTAAAGTACTACTTCTTTAAAATGAAACCACTAGATTATGCATGTACAGTTAAATGATATAACAAGTCTGAACATAATAAACTCCCTTCACACACTGTTCACATTTTTTAATATGAAAAAATACAAACTTTCTGGATAACATTTTGCTCAGAGACAACCATTTTTCACATTAAAAACTAGACCTTGAAATTAAGTAATTCTAAGTTTAAATTCTGCATACGTGTCTGATTTTTTTAGGTGATAAGGGAGGAGGGTATATAGAAATATTTTCTATGGAACTTAGGAGTGTTTTTTTCTACAGAAGGGAAATACTTTAAATTAGAAACAATTTTTCAGTAATGGTGAGTTGTTTGTTATGCTGTGCTTCCTAATGTGGAACTTTTTCTGCAGAAAAGGTTAATTAGTTGGGAAATGAAATACATAAAACTATCATGAATGAGATGGTATTAAAGCCTTCCTTTTTCTGCCTGCCTCCTTGTCTTTTTCTAGAATAGACTCAGAAAGGGTAAAGGTGCCTGAGTAATTGGGCATTCCTTAGTAAACTGCACTGTCTTAATTCATACACACAGTGGGAAGTAAATGGATTGAATTTCCCTATAGAATATCACAAGCTTCATTTGGTCTTTAGTTTTGGGCTTTTCTGTTGGTTTGTTGTTTGGGGTTTGTTTTATGAGTGCAATTGCTCTTTAGTTAAACTTTCCTAAAGTTGTTTGGTAGGAATGTGTGCATGGAAATCATAGACTTTTCTGGTTGCTCCTCAGTAGGTTTTACTGAGAGCGTACCTTCTCACTCCACAAACTCCATTGCAGGAACTGATCAGAGGGAAGCAGGTAATCCATGTTAGCACATTGATCTTGATGCTCTATCTACACCGTCACAGTCCTAGAAAATATAGTATGTAGCCCTCTTTTTTACGTGTTCTATATAAAATAAACTTCATCACCTCACGTCATTGTCCTATGCCACTAACCTGGGACAAATCTCTACTAAATGTAACAAAAATGGTAAAATTATGGAAGCACTTATAGCCAAAAAGCACTTAACAGCAACAAAAGTTAGGTTAAAGTTGCCAGTGCTGATGCCTGCTGAGATTTACTTCAAAAGCTATATCTTTAAATGTACAGACATACAGAAACACAAATATATAAAAAAGTCAAATTTGCACACACACAAGCCCATGCAAAACACCATGTACTTAGTTTTCAGTCTTAAAATCTCTTGCCTTCACCTCCACTTCCTATCAAACTTTCAGTTCTTTCCAAATCTCTGTATTTTTTGTCCTCTGTCATCAGTATTCACTAGCTGTAACAGTATTAAACAAGAAGAAACTATGAATTTTAGGTAAATATTAGGCAATTTGACAGCTTTTAACTCTTATGCATATTTTTAATACTCTGAAATCCTTCATTCCAAGTGTTATTCTCATCTGGCAGAGAAGCAGAAATAGGACTATATTTAATCACAATTCAGCTTGAATTTTGAATATTAAATATTCATAATTAAAGCTTCTAAACAATTTACAGAGCTAGTAATAATTACAGGAATTAATCTGTGAATTTCTTTAATTAAAAATAATTTTGGCAAATTATAACTTGCTCCTGAAAAGTTTAAAAATAGAATTTGAAACTAGGTTTTATACAACTCTGCTCAATGCCTCAAGCCCTTCGTTTTCTTCAGAGTATATGTGGCAGTTAAATTTTGATTGTAGCAAGATAATTTTTAGTTCAACACATTTTTGTTCTGTACTTTCATATATATGCAAAGTTAGGGGGAGATGGGAGGAAGTACTAAGACGTCTTATCATCATCTCTTTCTGACACATCTGGAGCAGAGCAAAATTTCAGTTTAATAGCAGCCTTGGAAAAGGGGCTTTTTACTTTACATATTTGCCTTTCATATATCTAAGCAGAAACGTATACTGCAATGAAAGGCTCAAGCCAATGGCATACATATATTTTGTGAGGTACCACTTGGACTAGTTGAAGCACATGACACTCCTGTTACTTCAGGATACATCCTTAAGAAACATTAACCAGTAATTCTAAAAAAACTGTGTTAAAAAGCCATACCGTGAAGGAAATATAACCCCTAATTTGACATTATTTATTTATTTATTTTTCCCCAAGAAAAGACCTTTCAATCTGGAATATAATGAACTTGCAAAATTAGCCCAAACTCGTTCAACCTCTCAACTGTGTAATTTTGAGGTGTATGTGTACAGGAAAGCAGGAAATGTTCTTGAGCTTGTTATCAAGTGAGACAAGGTTAATTAGCAACTAGAATAGCTTTAGCATTTATTTCACTACATTTGTAAAATAGAATGTAGTGGTAAAATACACCAGTTCTTTTTAATTCCAATAGAAGATTTTCCTGTTTTAAGATAAGAAAGAAACTGTTGCTTTTCACATTTTAACTCATAATAAATGTATACTTAATATACAGGTTGGGGTTGTTTGTTTATTTTTTAAGGTTTATTGCTTCCCCAGATGTACATTTTCAGAACTGCAGTGATTGATTTTTCAAAGTTTCAGCACTCAAACTGACAACTGGATTTGATGCGCTCTATGCTAAGCAGGCTTCAGTATAAAAAGGATTTTCAAAGGTCTCATAATGTAGTGTCTCAGTACTTTGAAAATAAACCATTTAATTGATAATTAAATGAGAAAAGTACAGTACTGGGTGTTCACTTGTTTGAAGACAGGGTATGTGGAAATACTGTTTTCCATACAAAGGAAAAAGCAGAATTGTTAATTAAGATCCAGCTGAGAGTTAAATTTTGAACACACTTACACCTCTTCAGGTCACCAAGAAAACTATCTTGAGTTTCACGCTTTTCATGTTGCTTTGTAGTCTAGAATAACTTAATTTTTCCTTTTACTTACCTGTGTGTGTGTCCTGGGTTCAGCAGTAGCAGCCATTTTACTCCTTAGTAGCTGGTGCAGTGCTGTGTTTTTGAATTTCAGCCTGGGAACAATACTGATAACACCAATGTTTTTAGTTGTTCCTATGTAATGTTTACCCTGATCAAGGACTTTTCAGTCTCATGCTCTGCCAGTGAGGAGGCGCAAGGGAAGCCGTGGGGAAGCAGAGACAGGAGGACACCTGACCCAAACTAGCCAAAGGGGTATTCCATAACACAGCATGTCATGCCCAGTATAGAAACTGGGGGAAGTTACCCAGGAGGCTTAGATTACTGCTCAGGTCAGGCTGGGTATCGATCAGCGGGTGGTGAGCAATTGCATTGTGCACTACTTGTGTTTATTGTTTTCTTTTCCTTTTTCCCCTTTTAGTTTTATATTCTCTCCCCTTGTTACATCCTCCTTCGGGAGCGGGGGGGGAGGGGGGGGGGGGAAGGGGGAGATCGAGCGAGCAGCTGCATGGTTCTGGGTTACAGGCTGGGCTTAAACCATGGCACTGTAGTTTTAGGGAACCAAGTTCCACTTGCCACAGATTTCCACACAAATTCAAATTCTATCTTTGGTTTCTGTCACTATTGTGTGTTCAGGAAAAAACTCTATTTATAGATTGTAATGACTACTTATGTTTTAGTCCTAAAGACAAAGCTATAGTACAAATTCAAGCTAAACCCCAGATTTCAGTTAAAAGGAGGAATGCAAAAAAAACTAATAAGGTGAGTTAGTATTTCTGTATTCCTTTCTATATTTTCTACTTGGTGTTTATCTGCAATACTCTGTTACTTCATGTTCTTCAAAAATATAAGTGAAACATGATTTGTTTTTCTTCACCAAAAACAAAACATATTACAGCTCTGATTCCTTGATGATGAGCAATATTTGAAAACATTATAATAAAGAGATGCAGACCAAGATGCTACCTTACTGTAAAATATCTTAGATGAACTTGGGAAAAATGGTGTGTGTTTTCTTTCTGCCTTTTTTTTCTTCTCTCTCTATTCTGCAGAGCAGGGATTTCATACGGCCTTTGGAAGAAAGTTGCTTTCTTTTGGTGCAGACACTGAATGCTGTGGATAGGTCTGTAATCCTGAGCCTGTGTTTGACAGCAGACTCTCATCCTGTCCACACTGAAGTCTGGAGTTAGAGAGGATAGGTGAGCTCAGCAGCAAAGAAAATAAGAAATTTGGTAGACAAATTTCTATTAAAGCATGGATTCTGCCTAAAGCATGCCTGCTGTCACCCCTATGCAATCTACCCACTGCTATGTCATACTGCTGCACTGTCAAAACTGAGCAAGAATTCACTGCAGACTTGTGGCCAAGCTCTGAAGTTATGTACTGCAGGCTCTTAGGGATGTGCAGCTTGAAGTCCAGTTTTCTTTTACATAGCGCAGTAGTGTTTCATGGAATGACAGGTTCTCAGTAACTCCTGAAACATGCCCCAAACGCAACCAAGTTCAAGCTAGCTACACAAGGAGCTTTAGCGCTTGCTGGCTTTTGGTCTACCAGGCACTGCAAATGCAGTTGCTAGGAACAAACAGCAGCCAGCCAGGGTATTGGGGTCCAGCAGGGACGATGGGTGCTGCAGGTGTCCAGAGCTGCATATGGCCTCTGCTACACCCTGGCAGCCCAGTTATATTAGTGGTTGTTCTTGCAGTTGTTATATCACTATATAGAAAAAACCTTTGCTGTCTAGTGAGCTGCATTATATCTTTATTGTTTTGTCATATAAGGAAGATCTGCTGGTCCACACTTTTGCAGTCACCTGCTGTAAATGAATGAAATCCAACCTTTAAGGTAAGTTTATAGTGTTTTATTTGTTTGTGACTCATGGTATTGGATAAGCATTGACATCCTTCCTAACGGAGTGGGGCCAGGCTGCCGTTCCTACCAGAGCTTTTACACACACATTTTGATACTCCAAGGTGCTTGGCTAATGAACGCCTTTAAATAAGGGAGCACTATTCTTCAGGTGAGTAACTTGTAACAATTACAAAGTGGTTCCCCACCATCTCCTCTACTACGGTCTTAAAAATCAGTGAGATTTTGAGAATTTTGAATCCCATTCTACTTTGATTTGGTTTAATGGAAGAAATAAGGCCCTGAATTTCCTATGAGAAATGTATGGGCTAAGTAAACATAAACACCATCATTGTTGCTTTGAAGGTCTTTGCCACAGTGGTGTATTATGACCTTGCAGAGCCTTCTGTTTATTTATACATAGGAAAAAAAAAATAAACCCCTTATATATAAGTTTTCTGTGCAAATTTTGGGTCCTAAAGGCAGAATTTATGTGAAAATAAAAATCGCACTCTGTACTGTAATTTGAATTGTCAGTATTTCAAAATGTAAAGCAAGAAACTATAAAATTCAGCGTCTATGAATGCAGTTGCCTAGTCTTGCTAGTGCTCAGTGCTACAGTATGTCCTTTTTTATAGAACTATACAATCATTTAGGTTGGAAGAGATCTCAAGGTCATGTAGTCCAATCTCCTGCATCACAGAAGTCAAGCTTCTCTTTTTTTTTCCCGAAGAACTCCTAGATTAAGGATTGAGTTTATTGTTGTTAGGTGAAGCTATCCAACAGCTGTCTTCTATCCATGACGGAACAGATTTTCTACCCAAAATCCAGAGTGTTTTATCTCAGTTTGAAACCTGTCCTAACTTACAATCTGTTAAAAAAAAAAAAAAAAAGGCTAAATGAAGATATATGTGTGAAATCCTCCTTTAGGTATTTTCAAATAAAAGGGATTTACTGAAGATCGCTGTGGTGGTTAATGTACTTACATTGGGTTTTGCAGTTAAGCTTTTCTGCTCTTACCCGTTTGATTTCCTTTTTCTGGTACACTCTTAATAAATATTACATGTACTGCATCAGAATTCAGGTAAGTGGCTTTCCTTGTATACAAAATAAATAAATAAAAATTAAACTGCAGCATTCAACCTTTCATAGGATCCTTTGTAGGCTGGGAACAACCACGGTTCTGTCTACACTCACCTCACAGCCTTATTCACAAGAACAGGCCACCAAATTTACTCCAAAGGATAAAAGTGCACTCAAACTCCATTAGAAAAATTTTCACGCATTAAATCACTACAGAAACTCCCAGTATGCAACTGTTATTTCACTCACTTCCTCTCTGTAGACAATCATGAAGTGTAACCAGTATGCAGATGCCCACCTGAAATTGCAAAGTTGAGGCAGTAGATACTAAGGGAGTTTTAATGCATTGTTCTGTGATCAATATGCCTGACATTTAAGCAGCCCTGTTACTCCTCATCAGTGAAAGGAGAGATCAGTTGCAGCCCTGGCACTGTCAGCTCATCTCGTTGCTATGTGTGACAACCGCAAATTACTAATACTTTTCCCATTTTATCTCCTACGCTATTCTACCTTCCAATGAGTCTGTTCTTCCTCAATCAAGCAAAAGATAAACCCACAGATTTCTTTGCAGCTCAGGGTCTCATATAAGTCCTCACAAGGAGAAATTCACATTCATGTTTTGGATGCTGCAGCATATTGGACAATAAGTAGTAGCCCTCTGAATGGGGCAATTCGCACAGTCAATGCTTCATGTAATAACATCAGCTATTGCAATAGCTGTTTATCAGAAGGCATATATATGACAAAAGGTGGATTCACCAAGTTAAAAAGCAGTGTCAATAATAGGAAAATACTCAAAGACATTTACATAAGGTTTGGAAAATTTACCTTATACTGAAAGGCTTCAGAAGTTCTTGCTTAGTGCAGAGAAGGTTAAGGGAAGAGTTGATCGTGGATTATAAATATTCATCATGGAATAAAATATTGACCACTGGAGGCTAAGTAAACTGACAGACAGTAGAAAAACAAGACCTGTAGCTAAAAACTGAAGTTTAAAAACAATCAAATTGGGGCTAATATTCAGCTGTACAAAATCAAGGTTGTATTTTCCTGAAGCAGATTACCAAGGGAGTTATCAGTCTGTTGTTTTACAATTAAGATTGTATATGTGTTGAAAAGATATACTCTAGCTCACCTGCAAGTTATTGAACTTTATATCTCCCAGGTACATGGAGAGAACAATCTCTGCAGAAAACGTTGACAAAAATCTGTGGCTTGTTTAATACAGAATGCTCATGCCTGGTTTGAAAATCTTTGCAGTGACAGCTAAAAATATCAGAATAAATATTAAAACATTTTAGAAAATGTACAGATTGCATCCTTTGCCTGCACTACCCTTTATTTGTCACATGGCAATATCAGAACAATGTCTATTCATGAGCATTATAACCCACAGGCTTAGAATACGGAAGGAGAGATGAAAAATACCAAGAGAGTAAAATGTATCTATCAACTCAGTATATCTTTGTTATTAGCAATTTCTTTATACATGGCATTATTTAGTTTACTTTTTAAAACAAATGTATATTTGGTACAATGAAATATTCAAATGATACCCTTAACTTTTAGATGAAGTTCCAATTCTTACATTTTGTATTTATTCTGTATTTCATTATTACAGGGTACTCGTTTCATTACACTGAATTACCTTGGTGCTGTAATGAAAACCATTAATTTTTTTACATCAGCATGAGTATAAACAAAAAGGAAGAAAAAAAAACATGTCATGCCACTCAAACTTGATTGCTTTTTTGATAGACTTAAAAAATCAGTGGATGAAGGATATTCAGAAGATACATTTGCATTTTAGTAAAGGATGATCATGCCTTTGAAAAACTTATAAAAAGCATCCACATTCACTAGAATATGATTGCTATTACATGGAGTAAGAAACAGATGAAAGACAATGAATAAAGTGAACTTTAATATGGGGTGAAGTGTACATGGATACTCAAAATATGCATTAAAATTCATTTTATTCAATGCATTCTGCCCTGATCTGGAAGCTGGAGTAAATAGCACAGATGAATTTGCAAATCACAGTTAGCTGGATGCAAATTTTAGTCAATCTGGATCAAAAGGGAAGTCTGCCTTTTGCCCCAGTTTTATGCATGGGTCATTATGTTACTGTGGCATCCAAACCAGAATCCAATAAATATAGTGTGGCTGAACTGTGATCTCTGAAAGAAAAAAAGAGAAACTAAACTGAACAACTATTATAAAATTTGCTTACTCAGTGATTCTCTAATGAATACCTAAATGATTCCATGTTTTCTGGCTTGAAATAAGTAAGTCTAGTATGTATTTTCCTCCTCTTTTTATGCGTCCCTAATGATTTATTAACAGAGGTAACCCTGTACACTGTAAAAAAAAAAGAGCATGAGACTGGTAAGTTTTGTCTGAGCTGGGCTGAGTATTTTGATAGGGGAATTAGATTCCCTGGCTTTTATAGGAGGACAAAGACAAGACTGTGACTTCCATAAGGATAAAATCTGCTTTACCTGTTTTGATTACTGAGGGAGGAGGTGGTCTATGGTTCTATTTTCTCACTTTGAGTAAGAAATGCAGAAGTTGTAGCTATAGTGATGAGAGAGAGGGAAAGAAAGAGATTTGTTTCTTCACCTCTTTCCTCAACAGCAGAAAAAGCTGGAAAATGGCTATGGCTGTGGACCACAGATGAGGATGTGCTCTCCTCAAACAGGGTGACTCCAGGGACAACTTAATCCCAGTGGGGAGGAATGAAACTGCTACTACGGACATCATATTTCTCCCAGTAAAGACCAGAGGATGCTGTCCATAAACTGTTTGAAGTCCCTCCCTTTCACAGTCTCACTGAAGAGTCTAAAGCTTAGGACCCAGAGGGAAAAGCGAGTCTAGCAGCAGAAATATGAGGAAGTTTTACATGGCAGTTTTACTTGTCTCACCAATGAGTTTTTTCCCATATTAATTAACTGATAATTAGGCTGTTAAAATGTTAATTGGAATAATGATATATTTTTATTTCCATGTATGTGGTATCTTCCTTTTTGTCCAGAAAAAGATTTTGATGGAACTCTTGTTGCAGTATATGGCAGTTATGAAAGGGAGTTCATCCATGCATAAAAAAGAAAAAAGCATGTAATATGTTTAACATCAGACGTGTACAATATCACTGATGAAAGAATGTTTCAAGCATTTTATAACTGAATATTAGGCAGTAAATTTATATATTGAGAAACCCAAAACCAAAATAGAAATAGAACATTAATTCTGAAACCATTACAGAAATAGTTTTCGTTTTCAGCTTTAGCCTTGGTGCATTACCTCCATTCCTCGGTAGGCTTTCATCACAGAAAAACCAAACCAAAAACACAAAACAATCTAACAATAAGAACTTGTTCTTTTTTTTTCAATTTTCAGGGGTTTATGTTTTGAATCCTTGGAACTGCGAAGCAGTATGTGTGAAAATCTCTTAAGAAATACAAAGATACTGAACATAGATAATACAGGTACGTATGTGCAGTTTGATAGTGGGATCTTACACCATCCTGCTAATATACCAGTAAAATATAATTCATAGAAACCATATTACATGATCTTACTCATAATGACTAACCCATTGAAGATTATAGGGCTTCTCACAAAGTAAGATACTTTGATTAAAAATGATTGATACACATCTGATAGATAAACATACCTGATACTTTGAATTTCTTTCTGATAGGGTTAAAAGAGGTATTCAGTTTCAAGATTGCCTTAGGTCAGGTTTGCAGTTCTGATTCCCACTGGGTGTCATATTCTCTGAGTTATTTACTGAGTACAGTATTTTCTCAATATGATTACAGGATGCAGGATCTAGCCTTCTTTGCTCTTTCTTTAAACAGAATTTCTTGAGGAAGGCTGTGCTGGTGTTTCTACAAGGCTGAAGCATGTATGGAAATGAATCACTCAGTCTAAATTGTTCGGTTTGAAATACTATCTATTTCCCAAACTACTGGTTTGCCTCTTACTTGCTACTGCCTATATGCTCCAAGTGCTTCAAGGCATTTGGTTTTATTTCTGTGGTGCTTACCAGATGTTTTTCTCAAGCTAAAAATTAACCAGCCTAGATTCACAAATGGCTATCAGGCAGTACGATCACTCAGCTATCTCAAGTTAAGCAATACCCATCCATTTTGCCATTTTAAAGTGACTTGCACTTCTCAACCAAAGATACTAAAAAATTTACTTCTCACCTTTTCTTTTTCTTCTGCTACACCCTAATTCTTACTGCTGCTGATAATGAAAAATGCAGCTAGTAGTATAAACAAGCATTTCCTTAGTGATTTGCATTGTCACAGGAAAAGTCACAAGATACTGAAATTTATAGAGCAATAAAAATATCACCTACCAATGTGTATTCCTTACATGTCCACCTACTTTTTAAATGTAAGGCTAATGGAACAACAAGGTTTTCTGTATCTTTCTGCCTGCAAGTTTTGTTTAAATAGTAAAAGAGAAATACATGCAATATTTCTGTCACCCAGCACATCTTTATGTGAGCTACAGCATCAATCTGACCGCAGTGTCCAGGTGGGGCAGCACTTACTATGACTAGTAATAAGACCTACTAATTCTGAACATCTCAGTCACCACTTACATAATGCACAGTGAATTGAAGCATATTTTTGCCTGTGAAATATAAGACAGAGTGTACAAACCCTGTTAGGCGTAACCTTGACAGAGTTTTCACTCACTTAATACCATGGCAAAATTAATAAAAGGGGGGGGGAGGGGGGAGTAACTGCAGTCCTATTCACTGAGGAATAATAGATGATCTTTTCACACTGCTAATTTGCCCTGCTGCCTCCACTAACAGCCTCTGAATCCTACCTAATTGTACTCCTTCGTTCTTTTGCCAGAGTACATTGTCATGTCTGCTTCTTGGCTGTCTTTCTCACTCTGCACATTCACTGACAAATAATGAAAGGCTGAAGTATGAAGAAACGCAAACTGCATTAGAGGAAGTCTTCAGATAACTCAAATTAGCTAGTTAGCTGTGGAAATCTTTCCTTCTGCGTTATCCATTACTGAGGAACAAAAAGGTTTGTGCAGATATGGTCAAACTTAGTATTTATACAAAATGGCTAAGATTTTTATCTCTGTCACCTTTTTACAAAAGGAAACACTGACTTTTCCTCTTATCTCCTTCTGTTATTTCCAGACCTTTTTCTAAGGTAAGAAAGAAAAATGGATTATAACACATATAAACTTTGAGGATAGCTACATTTCTGTCTTCACATAAAGCTCTCAGTTCTCAAGGTTCATCCACTTATGCTCTCTACATGTCTGAAAACAGGACAGCTTCTCATCTGTGGCTGGAGTATCAAGGAATGAGCAAAAATTGGGGGTAGCATTTACTTTGGTAGTTTCAGGTCATTAATGGAAACTTTTCCATCATCTCTCTGATACTATAAAACAACTGAAAATATTCATAGAAAATGGTAATGTAGACACAGAAAAACTATATGCCTTCCACCTCTGTCTTTTGGAAACTTTGTGCAAATCCTATTCATAATGCATTTTAGTATTAGTATCTGCTGAACATGCTATCTGTTCAATATACCATCAGTATGTTCAATGATCAACACTTTTGGTCTTTTATTGTCTTCCAACACAGTCTGCAGGGCTGTCTTTCAACAAATTATCAGATTCAAATTATGAGACATGCTTAATACATATTCATGCATGATTTTCTCAGGTTTATATTTTGTGTTATCTTTCTGCTATAGAAAAGAGCTATGTATCTGATTCAAGGTTATCACACACATTTATACAATTTGATGCACATACTAAGAATACCATAAATATTCCCCGCACAAATTATTCTGACCTCTGAAATAAGAATTTACATTTCATTCAGGAAGCCTAGAATAGTTTGTTTTCCATTGGTATATAAGTGAACACTTATGCTGATTTTCTATCATGGTTTCTATCCATTTTTTTTTTTCTTCTATCCAGTTTTTCATGTTGTTCTGTTGTGACTTGTCTGTCAGTTATTTGTCATCAATATAATGTTTTAGGAATTGATTTCCAATGTGCAGCTAAAGCTGCAGCACAAAGGAAGTACTTGTATATCTAAATGAACCTGGAGAAAAGACAATGTGGTAAAAATACAATTGCAAAATTATTCTATAATTTTTCATACTACCGGGAAAATATCTAATCACATTCAACTATGTTACCACTGGATGTGGCCCTGAGCAACCCGATCCAGTTGAAGATGTTCCTGCTCATTGCAGGGTGGTTGGACTGGAAGATCTCTGAAGGTCCCTTCCAACCCAAACCTTTCTGTGATTCTATAACTTCTGAGCAGGAATTCCCCTGCTGCCCCAGCAGACCCCATCCTGGAACAGTTATTTTCTGCAGTCACTGGACAGGACCACAGCAGAGCAAATATCTAGGATATGCCCTGGAAGAAGTTGCAGTCTGAGAACCCTATGAAGAAGCAGGCTCCTGGTGGGATAGAAGCTCACACAGAAGCATGTTTTCTGGTAGGGGCTATGGCCGCTGGAGGACCCATGCTGGAGCAGTCTGTTCCTGATGGATTACACCCCATGGAGAGGACCATGCTGGAGCAGTTATGGAAGAACTGAAGCCTGTTGGAAGGATCCATGTTGGATCAGTTCATGAACGACTTTTATTTTGTGGGTAGGACTCCATGCTGGAACCCAGGAACAGCATGAAGAGAAAGGAGCAGCAGAATCAAAGTGTTATGAACTTGCTACAGCCTCCATTCCCCATCCCCCTGCACCACTCAGGTAGGGAAGGGGGAGGCAGAAGAGCTGGGAACGAAAGAATGAAGTTGAGCCTGGGAAGAAGGAGGCGGTAGGGGTAAGGTGGTGTAGTTTTGTGTTTGTTTCTCACCATCCTAATCTGTTTTTAATGAGCAATAAATTGAATAAATCTTCCCAAAACTAAGTGTTTTACCCATGGTGATAATTGCTAAACAATCTCCTTGTTTTCCTCTTCACACATTAAGTTTTCCATGTTTCTTCCTCTTGTCAAGGAGTGTAAGTTAGAGTGCTGGGCGGGCATTTAACAGCCAGCCAAGGTCAACCCAACATGCTTTCAAAAGCAGTTAAAAATTACTGTCACTCAGAAACTTCTCTCTCCTTCTGAGGCCATAAACTCAGTATCCTTTTCAGACAATAAACAATCCCCTTTCCTAAAATGTGGCAATATTATTTAAGGTGGATACAAGACTTCCGTATGCAAACTCCAGCTAACACATTAGAGTGCAGTATTTCCATTGGATTTTGACAAGTGTTCACAATATTCAGCTATCAGGAAATTTGAATCTGGTTTATGTACAAGTTTTTTCAAGGGTAAGAATAAGAGCATGATCCTTTTATCAAATATTTCTAACACTGCAGCTGGAAGAGTAACTGAAATAATAATGTGATTTTAATGCTTTTCTTCCTTTACCCTATGAGTAAAGGGGAACTGTTCAAGAACTAACTTTCACATTTTAATTCAGTATATTTGTGTGGTTATTGGAACAAACTTTCTAATGTATGAGTTCTTAAATTTGAAAATATTATGTTGGGGAGGTAGAAATCATTTACACAGAAATTACAGATTTTATAAAAGAAACTAGTTAATAAATTTGAAAAGTCACTGTAGGTTATGCTCAAAGCAATAGTTCTATAAACTTCAAGGTTTTCCCTATTATTATTGAAAGAACTGTCAACAGTGACTCAGTATTTTTATATTTCACTTATTACACACCACAACACTGTGTGATTAAACTTAAAATGAAGAAAATGTTTTTTGATTCATTTACAGTAAATTTAATCTTTGATTAACATTCCAGAAGGAGGAAAAACAAATGAACATGCTATAAATCATGCTAATGATGATCATAATGATAATTGAGAATGTTCTTAGAATAGATAATATAATGAAGGCATCAAGACTTTATGTAGATATTCCCCCCTGTAGGTTTTGTAACAGGCTGAAGATTCTTTAACTTATTTTTGAAGAATTGGATTGGATTTTAAAACCTGACAGAAAAAAAGGAAAATATTCCCTTGCAAATTGTTAATTTACATTAATTATGATGCTGCTTTGTTCCTTGCCTCTGTCTGCGTATGTACTTTCATTTTCCTGGCCACTAGGCTTTGCATTTACTAATGATATATCTTCCCCCATTGGTTGAAAAAAATCTAACAGCCTGAACCTCTCCTTTTCATTTAATTTTAGGCTCCTTTATTTTATTTGCTACTGTCTGTAAATTGTGGTCACAGCTGAATAATCACTCTGAAGTTACCAGCAACAGATGTGGAGCTAGTATTCCAAGCAGAGGAAAAGAGAAACTGTATGGGGATTTCAGTTTAATTGGTCATGAAATCACCTAAAACTTCTAAAAGTCATTACTGAGGTATGACTTAAGAAAAAAAAAACAAAACCCTCACTACATACAGACCAATGATTTCCTTAAAAAAACAAAGAAATGCTCTCTGTGCCTCCAGTGATCTGCAAATGAAAGCTTGAGAATCACATCTTAAATGAAATGGACATGATGTAGATAAACCTTTATTTTCTAGATCATTGATAGGAATATGAGAATATAAAATGGTGGGTAATGGTTCATTATGAGATGAATATCATACATAATAAAGTAATTCCAATTCAGATTGTGCATCTGGGCCCAATCACAATTTGGTCAGAAGATCTGTTCTGAAGTGGCAAAGAAAAAAAGGACATAATATTTAGGCACTTAACAGCAGGATTTTAACAGTATTTAGCTTCTGCCTGCCATGACAATTAGTAAGAGTGAGCCATCTAGCAGCCCATGATAAAAACCTCAGCTCTCAACTTTCATGGAATTTCAGATACACCATTCCTGCCTCTGAAAGCTGAAGCCTTTATTCTCTTGGATTGTCTTCTGCATTCCTAGTTACCACCTATTCTCTATCAACACCCACCTTTGCTGGTCTGAAATTTTAAATGTAACAAAAAAAGCACAAAGCTGTTCTTAGGCACCTACTCTTTTATTAATAGTCAGGCCTATGTATCCTACAGGCCCAATTAAGTTTTCATACATAAGGACTTTTTTCTATGTCCTCTCGTCTCATAACATCCCTGCATAAACCTTCTTGCTTGCAGATGTACTTTCTTCTGCTCATTTAACTGAATGATTTTCAGCTCTTTAAAGGGCAGATGCTCTCCACTAGGCCATGCAGTCTTAATGGAGAAGCAACTCATCAACTTCTGGTATGGCTGTGTTAATCAGGCAGGGTATGAACTGCAACTCAAAGGGAAGAATGAAGCACTTCCACAGGCAGCCTTCTCTATAAAAGGCTTTTGATTCCATCTACTTGGTTTTGGTTAATGGGGAAACACTACAAAGTAAAGGCTGTGAGTTGAGTTTTACCTTTCCCTGCTTGGTGTTCTTCCTGGGGTTAAAAGAAACTGACTTCTGCTACTACAGGCTTGTGGCACGAATTCTTCTTAATGTAAATATCTGTAAACTTTCTAACAGAATCTAATCCAAAGGAAATTCTCTTGTTGCTTTCAAAACACAGTTTTGAAAGGACTGTTGCTGTGAGTTCTTTTTATCTGCAAGCTGCTTATTTGAAGTACTTCATGCAGGTGATGGGATAACTGGCCTAAATTTTGGTATGTGAATTCAAGCCTACAGCTCCTATCATGTAGGTGCTTGTGTTAAGCCTGAGGTCTTAAACTCACTTGAGGGAGAAGAGGGCTATTAGTCCTTTTATTTGTCTTGTACCTTTCTCTTATTCTCTTCCAATGACTTAAGAAGAGTTATAAGGTTTGCGTCTGCAGGCAGGTGAGTGTGGGATGCATGTCCTCTGGAAAGAAGAGAATAGTATTAACACTAGAGTTATAACTTGTGCTTTTGGACACTGGCTTTGAACTGACTTTTAGGGGTGATTTGGGTATTTACAACCTTTTCTAAGGTGAGGCAGTGACTTTCAGTCATGTAAGGTGTTTAATACTTTTCCTAGCTAAATAGCACCTTCTGTCCTTGTGTTTTGTGTCCACCTCTGTGTGCTCCTGTATCTTTTAGACATGATATAAAGTGACAACTGATACCAAACGGTATTGACAGGCCTTTATTGAACTTAATTACTCATCAGAGACTGGCATGAATCAATCCTCATAAAATTCATCTGTCAGTTTAAAATTTGTCAGCTTTAGTAAGGAGGAGAAGCTTCTTTGGGGAACAAGCAATTCCTTCACTCTACCAGTAACCCTTTATTTCTTAAATTATTGATGCACTTTGTTCAAGCAAAAATTGCCATAAACATTTATCAGTTAATGTAATGAAAATAAAGATGAGAAAACTCTGTGGTGACACTGAGTTTGGCTCTGTTTGCGGTGTAGCAAGTAACCTGAACTCCCATAAATGAGTTCCTTGCCAGTACGAAGGTTGGTGTGTAGTGATTTATTATTAAATATCTTACGGCGTTTTGGGTGCGGGTTTTGTTGGTTTGAGATTATCTGTTTTTTTTTTTTCTGTGCTGGTTATACAACATTATGAAATTATACTTTGCTTATGATAATGTAAGTATCGCGAATCTGGAAAATAGCAAGTTATAAGATTTACAGAAAAACAACAAATAGGTTAACACACATGATGGTAGTGACAAAAGAAGCGTTTTTCTGATATGCAGTCTTCCTCATGAACTCCAGCAAAAATCTTTCAGCAGGTTAGGGAAAATAGTATAGATATCAGCCATTGGTAACATCATGCTTCAGTCTGAATCCTTTCTCATTCCTTGCTCTAAACCAGTGTTCCTCAATCTGAGGATGTTTACTGAAGGCAGATTTTTATTTTTTCTCTCAGTTTCATGTGTTTTCTCCATCTGGAATGGTGGTATTTGCCAGAGCCTTCTCTGAACAACCATACCCAGAGTGCGGTCATCAGTGGAACAAAGTTGGAGGCCTCCTTCAGAAACTTAAAAAGAGCCTTGCCATTGATACCAACATAAGCAAATCAATGTCCTGAATTTGACATTCAGTCTCTCAGTAAAGATAATGCCATCACAAAATGACAGGTGGGACAGACAGCGAGCTGCACAGAGGGCTGAGAAAGGGAAATGCAGAGTGAACAACAGAACTTACCTTGGCAGTGGGTGTTTTTAAGCTCTGGTTACTGTTTGCAATGCCCTGACTTTGCTACCAACATGCCTCCTCACTTTATTCTAATAAAATGGTTAGCAAAAGATTGTAATCTGTCCAATCCCCCGGGTAATAAAAGCAGATAGAAAGTCCAGCTATTTTTAAAGCTGAATATTAAAACACCCACTTCATTTACATAGGTTTTTTTATGAGGCCTTTTTCCCCTCTTTAAGAAAATGGCTTAGTTTGATGACTCAGTTCAGCAAAGATACCAAATCCATGATGTAACCTAAAATAAGATGCATTAAAGTGGTGACTTTTATGAATATAGTAGATATTGATCTAATCCCGAACATCCAGCGCAACTTCACAGTAGGACTTAGAAAATTTCCAGTTCAAATGTATTTTAAGTTCTCTGCCTATCCCTAATGTTACCTATCACAGCAATCTCTTATAAAACTACCAAAACCAGTTTGGGGTTTACCATATTATGCCTGAAAGCTGGGGAAGGGATATATTGTGCCAGGCAAACTAAGTTCTATTAAAATAAAGAAAAAAGACTGGTAACGTGAAAGACAATTTCTCTTCAAAAGATATATACATCCTGTCACATTGGTTGCTAAATTTATTCAGTGAAGTGTGATTTTGGGTCATCTTTGAAGCAATTTGTGGGTAATGTATTTCAGTTCCTTCCTGTCTTTG